GCTGAATTTGCCTTGAAAGGCTGTCCTGCCCGGCCAGTAGCCGTAGCATTCGGAGCGCGTGTTTAGTGCGGCAAGGAATGGTATTGTAACTCCGCGGAGGGTACTCCAACTAAACCCAAACTTGTCCACCCAAAGTGTGGAGAGGGACACACGTTTGTGAAAATGGAAACAGGCGAGGATGGGGTCTGCTGGATTTCAAAACACCAGTCTTCCTGACACAACTGCGACTAAATCCGCCATGAATCATGCCCCAAAACATGTTATTATTTTTAACATAGCCTCTGTATGGCCTTCATTTAAGCTGCTTACGCTTCGCCACTCTGCCATGGGCCCCTGTAACCCGCCTCCTCTTGCTGCTGCCAGTCCAGAGTGTGTCATGGGTCCCTGTACGGCCTCCCATTGCTGCTGTCTCCATCGCCACACTCTGCCATGTGCCACTTCCAGGTCTCCTCACACTGCTGGTGGGTTCCATTTTGTCATAGGGTGCTGGCAGATTACGGGCTCCCATTGCTGCTGCCAGGCCCGTAATCTGCCATGGGCCCCTGTACCGCCTCCTCATGCTGCTGCCAGGTCCAGAGTGTCTAATGGGTCCTGTAGGCCTCCCATTGCTGCTGTCTCCATCGCCACACTCTGCCATGTGCCACTTTCAGGTCTCCTCACACTGCTGGTGGGTTCCATTTTGTCATAGGGTGCTAGCAGATTACGGGGCCTCCCATTGCTGCTGCCAGGCCCGTAATCTGCCATGGGCCCCCCGTACCGACTCCTCATGCTGCTGCCAGGCCCGTAATCGTCATGGGCCCCTGTACCGCCTCCTCATGCTGCTGCCAGGTCCAGAGTGTGTCATGGGTCCCTGTACGGCCTCCCATTGCTGCTGTCTCCATCGCCACACTCTGCCATGTGCCACTTTCAGGTCTCCTCACACTGCTGGTGGGTTCCATTTTGTCATAGGGTGCTGGCAGATTATGGGCCTCCCATTGCTGCTGCCAGGGCCCGTAATCTGCCATGGGCCCCCGTACCGACTCCTCATGCTGCTGCCAGGCCCGTAATCTGTCATGGGCCCCCGTACCGACTCCTCATGCTGCTGCCAGGCCCGTAATCTGTCATGGGCCCCTGTACCGCCTCCTCATGTTGCTGCCAGGTCCAGAGTGTGTCATGGGTCCTGTACGGCCTCCCATTGCTGCTGTCTCCATCGCCACACTCTGCCATGTGCCACTTTCAGGTCTCCTCACACTGCTGGTGGGTTCCATTTTGTCATAGGGTGCTGGCAGATTACGGGCCTCCCATTGCTGCTGCCAGGCCCGTAATCTGCCATGGGCCCCCGTACCGACTCCTCATGCTGCTGCCAGGCCCGTAATCTGTCATGGGCCCCTGTACCCGCCTCCTCATACTGCTGCCAGGTCCAGAGTGTGTCATGGGTCCCTGTACGGCCTCCCATTGCTGCTGTCTCCATCGCCCACACTCTGCCATGTGCCAACTTTCAGGTCTCCTCACACTGCTGGTGGGTTCCTTTTGTCATAGGGTGCTGGCAGATTACGGGCCTCCCATTGCTGCTGCCAGGCCCGTAATCTGCCATGGGCCCCCGTACCGACTCCTCATGCTGCTGCCAGGCCCGTAATCTGTCATGGGCCCCTGTACCGCCTCCTCATGCTGCTGCCAGGTCCAGAGTGTTGTCATGGGTCCCTGTACGGCCTCCCATTGCTGCTGCCAGGCCCGTAATCTGCCATGGGCCCCGTACCGACTCCTCATGCTGCTGCCAGGCCCGTAATCTGTCATGGGCCCCTGTACCGCCTCCTCATGCTGCTGCCAGGTCCAGAGTGTGTCATGGGTCCCTGTACGGCCTCCCATTGCTGCTGTCTCCATCGCCCACACTCTGCCATGTGCCACTTTCAGGTCTCCTCACACTGCTGGTGGGTTCCATTTTGTCATAGGGTGCTGTATGGCCTCCCATTGCTGATGCCAGGCCCGTAATCTGCCATGGGCCCCCGTACCGATCCTCATGCTGCTGCCAGGCCCGTAATCTGTCATGGGCCCCTGTACCGCCTCCTCATGCTGCTGCCAGGTCCAGAGTGTGTCATGGGTCCCTGTACGGCCTCCCATTGCTGCTGTCTCCATCGCCACACTCTGCCATGTGCCACTTTCAGGTCTCCTCACACTGCTGGTGGGTTCCATTTTTTCATAGGGTGCTGTATGGCCTCCCATTGCTGCTGCCTCCACCGCCACATCCCCACTCCCCACACCCCGTGACTGCCCAAATGAGTGAAGTGTGCGGTGATTCTAAGATCGACGGCACTCATCTGCATGTCATACTGACTGACAGTATTATTTCTCTTCCCCAGCAGACTCCAAGGGCATTTAAATTAAAGGTACAGTGTTCTGCACTAATATAAAGGCTCTCTGAAGCCTAGAAACACCCTTTTTATAAGTTAAATTCGCAGCGAATATATTCGACTCGAATCGAATTTATTCCGCGAATTCGGCGAATCGGCCGAATCGAATTTTTGAATACTTTGCTCATCTCTAAATACAATGAATAGTCATCGTATGGTTTTTGAAATACTGATTCCACCAGATTTCTTTAACCACTTGCCCTCCAGAGGATTTACCCCCCTTCCTGACCAGGCCATTTTTTGTGGTACGACGCTGCGTTACTTTAACTGACAATTGCGCGATCATGCAACACTGCACCCAAATTAAATTTACGTCCTTTTTTTCCCATGAATTGCGCTTTCTTTCACTGGTATTTGATCGCCTGTGTTTTTTTTATTTTTTGCGCTAAAGAAAAAAAATGTTAATTGGCGGCGATCAGTGACTTAAAGTGGGACTGCGGCGGGCATTCTGACACTGGGGGAAACTGGGGTTCCTGGGGACTGAACATGTGCTGCGCTGAATAAGCCTTTGTTACAATACTAAAGCATTTGAACTTGTTTACCTGTCCTTGCCTTATTTACTCATATTTTAAATTGAAGCCACAAACACATGTACTTTTCTACTGACCATTGTATGCATTTTATTTTATATTGCATTTTATTTTCAATTTGAAAACTGTAAAATAGTTAAAATTTATATTGCAATTATTATTCTAAAACATAATAATGGAAAATAACACCTAGTGCTATGGCAGTTTTTTTTCCTTTGTACTGGGTTATGTTTTACAGATTTTATAGTACTCCTATCACTTTTTTTTCACAATCCAGAGAATTTTCTGCATGCTTGTATAATGAGAAAATGTAAGAGAACAATGTGCAAAATAGCACATATTTAAATTTTTCAAATTTTATTATTTTGGTTCATTATATACCGTATTTGCCGGCGTATAAGACGACTTTTCAACCCCTGAAAATCTTCTGAAAAGTCGGGGGTCGTCTTATACGCCGGTATACGGCGAGGCGGTGTGTCAGGGTGGCACTTTTTCCAGGGGCGGTGTCCTCCAACAGACACTAAGTACAGGGGTGGGCAGAGGGGCTGCTGTACCTTACCTGGCTCCGGTCCCGGTCCCACGATGATCCGGTCCAGGAAGCGCGGCTGCTCCTTCTTTCACTTCGGCCGCTCGATGGTCGCGCGGGCCGCTCGGCTCTGCCTCCTCACCGGTGATTGGGCTCCAGCGCACACAGGCAACCAATCACCGGCGAGGAGGCGGAGCCGAACGGCTCTGCGAAAATCAAGCTGCCGAACTGAAAGAAGGAGCAGCCGCTCCTCTCCCCCACTGACACTAACGATGGAGCACTATTCCTCCTCCACACTGACACCAATGATGGAGCACTATTCCTCCCCCTCTGACACCAACGATGGGGCACTATTCCTCCCCCACTGACACCAACGATGGGGCACTATTCCTCCTCCACTGACACCAACGATGGGCCACTATTCCTCCCCCACTGACACCAACGATGGGGCACTATTCCTCCCCCACTGACACCAACGATGGGGCACTATTCCTCCCCCACTGACACCAACGATGGGGCACTATTCCTCCCCCACTGACACCAACGATGGGGCACTATTCCTCCCCCACTGACACCAACGATGGGGCACTATTCCTCCCCCACTGACACCAACGATGGGGCACTATTCCTCCCCCACTGACACCAACGATGGGGCACTATTCCTCCCCCACTGACACCAACGATGGGGCACTATTCCTCCCCCACTGACACCAACGATGGGGCACTATTCCTCCCCCACTGACACCAACGATGGGGCACTATTCCTCCCCCACTGACACCAACGATGGGGCACTTTTCTCCCCACTGATACCAACGATGGGGCACTATTCTCCCCACTGACACCAATGATGGGGCACTATTCCTCCCCCACTGACACCAACCATGGGGCACTATTCCTCCTCCCCACTGACACCAACGATGGGGCACTATTCCTCCCACTGACTAATGATGGGGCGCTATTCCTCCCACTGATACCAATGATGGGGCGCTATTCCTCCCACTGACACCAATGATGGGGCATGATTCCTCCCACTGATACAAATGATGAGGCACTATTCCTCCCACTGACACTAATGATGGGGCACTATTTCATCCACTGACACCAATGATGGGGCACTATTCCTCCCACTGACACTAATGATGGGACTCTATTCCTCACACACTGACACTACTGATGGGGCACCATTAGTGTCAGTGGGAGGAGTAGTGCCTCATCATTGGTATCAGTGGGAGGAATCATGCCCCATCATTGGTGTCAGTGGGAGGAATAGCACCCCATCATTGGAATACCATACTGAAATACCATACCATATTGAAATCAAATCTGATGTTTTTTCATTTTTATTTGGTGTGCGTTGGAAGAGGGGTAGTCTTATATGGTGAGTATAGCTCAAACCCTATATTTTAACAGGAAAAAATAGGGGGTCGTCTTATACGCCCAGTCGTCTTATACGCCGGCAAATACGGTAGTCTGTTTATTTTGTAGCATTCATTGAAATCTGAGTATTTGGCTAAGTACATAAGGTGAAGCTGAGTTCACTTCAACTATTCCATCATACACACCTACAGTGGTTCATATTATGATGCGGTGAGGAATTCGCTCAGAAACTGGTGTGATCTCGCACCTTATCAGTGTGAAATTAGGCTTAATACTTTTTTGCATTGTCTTTTTTATTGAGTGTTTGATTTGTTGTTATAAGCAGCAAGGTCAACTGACTTGCTTTTAGTTTATGCATTTATTTATAAATAGTTTTTTTCAATATTTTAGTAAATAATCTCTTATCCAATACACTAATTTGTTTTTTATTTGAAGGATTCCTGTGTAAAATACGTTCCTGACATATTTTATGAACAGGTATGTTTTGTGTATGTTTTTATTTAACCACTCCAAAGGATTTACACCCCTTCCTGACCATTTTTGCATTACGGTGCTGCGTTACTTTAACCTCCCTGACGGTATTCCCGAGTGTAGCTCGGGGTAACATTTCAGTACCAAAAGCGGTAACCCCGAGCTACACTCGGGCTTACCCTGAGGCACTGCTCCGGCAAGTGTTCTTCACTTACCTTACCCTGCGCTCCCACGATGTGTCCCCTGCAGCGTCCCCGGCCATCTCCTCCGGCCGATGCCGGCATCCGGCTTCTGTGTCCTGTCCCTGTGACGTCGGGACGTACGGGCGCCGCCGCCGGCGGGAAATTTAAAAATTTTAAAAAATGTCATTTTTTTTTTTTTACATTTTACACAGTAAAACATTGCTGTTTCAACCTATTTCACATACATATTGTCCCTAGTGCTTTGTCCTGCGCCCTGCCTGCATTTTGTCTGTTCTTTCTGTCTGGAAACTGAGAAATGTCCATGGCGTCCAAAAAGTGTCCCTTTAGGTCAAAAGCGGTTTAGATCAGCTAGAGAACAGCGATAGTAAATCAGAACCACTTGCAGAATTGAGTGATAATGATTCGTGGGGGAAATTCGTCATCAGAAACTGAAAACGATTTTGTGACT